AAGCAAAAATTCAACCTGAAAATTGGAAACATGCTAACAAATAATCCAAAACCAACTAGCAAAACATGAAAGTTGCATTTGATCCCAAATCAAAAAAAAAAAATATATATATATATATATATATGTAAACTTTGTGCATCATTTGACAAACATTTGCAAATTAACCAGCAATGATGGCATTATTACAAAGTAAGAAGCAAAAATTCAACCTGAAAATTGGAAACATGCTAACAAATAATCCAAAACCAACTAGCAAAACATGAAAGTTGCATTTGATCCCAAATCAAAACTAAAACACCAACTTGCTGGTGATAATTATTAATTCGATTTCTGACATAACAAAATTAAACAAGGCTTTAACATATAACAAAAAGATTCACTTCCTATAATAACACAATCTCCCACAATATCAATAATTTGTTAGTTTAAGTGAGAGGAATTCAATTTTTTTTAAACAAGATCTTAAATTCGAATATTTGTGAATGAAAAAACAAGTGTTAAAAGAATTTCCTCTAATGTGAAATCTGATCTAATTCGACTCTAGATTAGTTAAGAATAACTCAACGTGATATTGAGCTATGGAGATTAGTAAAAAAAAAAAAAGTCTCCCATAATTCAAACATGACTACCATGAAAATGCAACACAAAACAGAAACAGAAACATGGAAACAAGAAAGAACGGGAGAGAGGGAGAGCTCTTACCGAAATTAGGAGAATGCAAGAAGCCGAGGCAAGACCGGATTGAAGATATAGATTTTCTATTTATAGATTATTAGGGAGAGATGTACACGCGGCCGAACGACGCGCTTATTTGTCAATGGATTCGCTTCTTCCGCGGAAAGCGCGACACGTGTATAGTCAAACCCCCTGCCACCGCCTATAATTTCTTCTATATTTTATGGCCCCACCAATATAATCCTTGCCCATTAAGGCATGGGGATGGGATTGCAAGATTTTCCTCTTTTGCCCATAAAAGAACAAAAATGAAGTACGAATTACGTGCACTTCTTTCCATTGAGGTTGCTCTTTTTTCTTTTTTTCTTTTTCTTAATATTAGGAGTGGGATTCAATTTTTTTTTTGTTGGTTGCATAATGAATAGGTAATTTCTTTTCATTTCTTATTTCATCCTATTTATATGTTATGTGATTTAAATTTAAAATTTTTTATTTTTAATAAAAAAAATTATTATTAAATTATTTAAATAATTGATAATGAAACTTGAACTTATACCTTGAAACTTATACGAGAAGTTCTTAATAAAGGGTAATGGTTATTAGGCCACTAAAACATTTTTCATTGAGGGTATTTTATTTTAGAGATCTAATTTTACTAAGAAAATATTTTTATTAAAAAAGTAATTACAAATATTATATAAAAATTAATACATTTTAAAATAAAATTTTATTAAATTATTAATTTGTTAAA